AATTAAATTTTATGCTTTTTATACCATTACTTTTATTATATCTTGACAGAAGTCTAGGGTTCAAAAATACTCCATGCAACCACAAGCCATGTAATTACTTAACTAGCTCTACATGGTCATAAAAACTAATAGTGCTTTCTAAACCCAACCTGCTACTTGCCATGTGCTTGACCATATAAAGACCACCACTCAAAAACATCCCACAGCAGAGATGATAGACACACCCAGCACATAATCTCACCTGTGTCTAGATTAAAGCTCTTTATTGGACTATATTCCTTTTCCTGAGCAGCAGGATCTTCCCACTGGTCTCCAAAGCCAATAATCTCCAATGTGTGCCAACGCATCCAGTAGGTCCGACCTGTTGACTGCCATAAAACCTGTGGGTGAAACAGATCTAAATTATCAGATCTCTTCACTCATTCAATCCTCATGCTACATTTGTCCTCCCGTTTCCCCAGTGCATGGAGACAGCAAGCACTGTTCAAGTAGAAGACCACGCAATTCACATACAGATTTCAGCACACACTTTGTCTAATTTTGAGGCATACCATCTTTGCTAACTTGTTGCCCTGGTTACACCCAGATCTTTATTTTTAAAAAAACACCAATTTTGCCTGCAACCTACACACTACAGATCTCATTTAGCACAGTAGCAGTGACATGAGTGCATCCAGTTAATCATGCCTGGTCCAGAAGTGCCAAGCAGCAGGTTCCTTGGGAAAAGCATACAAAGGAAGAATGTAACCAACATCACCTTGATGCAGATGAGCTGTATATAAAGTGTCTCAAGGCACTTTTATACCTTGGTCATTCACCAACCCTCTCAAACAGGTTTTGGGCTCAAGACAAGCATGTCTGAAATACAGAACTTGTTTCCTCTGCCTTGTTCAAGTTGACCTTCAAAAATCAGAAGGATTTTTTAATGGCTTCCCACACTATAGTTTTACATTTACTCTTCTGAGCAGAAGGAGAACTCAGCAACAGCAAGTGTAACATGTGAGTAGCTTTAAAAACCAGCAGAAAAACATATGGTTTACTTGTTCCACTGAGCTCTTTTGGAGTTACACCAATGCTACTACAAACCCATTGTGCTGGAAAGCTAAAGAGATAAGATGGTGAAAGACTTAAGGAAAGTACTATACAGAAGGAAGTTGAGTTAAACTACACACAACACCAAATAGTCTTTAATGAATCCCTAACCTAAACTCGTTATGTACCAAAGATATGGTTGCAGGACCAAACACAGCAATGAAACTCTTTCTTAGGAAGGCAAAGAAAGCAACAGAAAACAGAGAAATAAAGGAAAGACGGGAGGAGATAAGAGGTACTCATGATGGACTGGCCCCAATTGCCATTCAGATCTGGTTTTGTCAATAGTGCGAGCCTTACAGATAACATACTGAAAATAAGTCTGGATGGAGCAACTGCAAATTCATTCAACCTAACTAAATAGAAAATTAGACAGGAGAGGGAACCCAAGGGACCAACACAACAAAGGGAATTGAAGTTAACAGTCCACTTCAGTTGAACACTGAATTAAAAACCCTTTGAAATTTATGTCACAGGCAACAGATAAAAATGTGAAAGGAGCTTGGTGCTCTTTCCATGCGCCCAGTTACACTAAAACAAAGTAAATGTTTATAAGAAATAGAAACCACAATTTTAGGAAAACACACAAATCAAGAAGCATAAGGACAAAGAGAGAATCAGTAGGAAATACATTACCTTTGCAATTTATCTTTATGGACTGGATTATAACAGAAAAGTGGTGCAAAGCAGTTATTCAGTTGAGGGAACCCAAAATGAAACATCACCTATGCATGGTCCAAAACCAGAAAAGTCTTTCACTGAGGCACATGGAACACTGGGAGGTAATTCAAGACAACCAGCAAGGCTTTACCAAGGGCAGTTCTAGCCTGGCCAACCTAGTGGTTCTCTATGAGGGAGTGACTATGTAAGTAGACAAGGGAAGAGCTACCACTGTCACCTCTCTGGACTTGTGTAAGGCCTTTGACATGGATCCCACAACATCCTTTGCTTTAAACTGGAGAGATATGGATTCAATAGATGAGGAATTCGTTGAATGGTCATATCCACAGGTCAACAGCTCAATGTCCAGATGGAGATCTTCAAGTGCACTTTCAGAAAGTTTGCTGACAACACCAAGCTGAGTGGTGCAGTTGACAGGCCTGAGGGAAGGAATGGCATCCAGAGGGACCCGGATGAACTGGAGAAGTCAGCCCAGAGGAACTTCATGAGGGTCAACAGGGCCAAGTGCAAGGGCCTGCACCTGGGTTGGGACAAATCCTGGTACCATCAAGGCCGGAGGATGAAGGGATTAAAAGTAGCCCTATAAAGGACTTAGCAGAACTGTTGGATGAAAAGCTGGACATGACCCAGAAATGTGCACTCACAGCCCAGAAATCCAATGACACCCTGGGCTGCATCAAAAGCAGCATGTCCAGCAGACCGAGGGAGGCGACTCTGCCTCTCTACTCTCCTCTGATGAGACCCCACCCAGAGCACTGCATCCAGGTCTGGAGGCCTCAGTACAAGGCATGGATCTGTGGGAGCAGGTCCAGAGGAGGGCCATGAAAATGATAAGAGGGATGGAACACCTCTCCTATGGGGAAACACTGAGAGAGCTGGGGTTGTTCAACCTGGAGAAGGGAAGGCTCCAGGGAAACCTTTTAGTGGCCTTTCAGTACTTAAAGGGGGCTTGTAAGAAAGTTGAGGAGAGACTCTTTAGTAATGCCTGTTGCAATAGGACAAGACATAATAGTTTTAAACTGAAAGAGGGGAGATTTAGATTGGACCTAAAGAAGTTCTTTACAATAAGGGTCACGAAACACCAGAACAGAAAAGTTGTAGATGCCCCATCCATGGAAACATTCGAGCTCAAGTTGGATGGGGCTCTCAGCAATCTGGTCTAGATAAAGATGTCCCTGCTTATTGCAGGGGGCTGGACTAGATGGCCTTAAAAGGTTCCTTTCAACCCAACCTGCTCTAAGATTCCTCCCCCCTTAAAATATTGAAGCCTTTTCCTGATTTCTGGCACAAACTTAGCAAATACGCAGCTCTTTTCAACGTAAACTCTCAGTTGAGGTCTACTCACCTAAAGGGCATTTTTAAAAGGAAACAGATTCCAACACATACTCACAGATCAAAAGCAACAACTATGTAGGCTGCGTTCAACCCACTGAGAACAACGATGTGCCATAAACAGTCTCTCTCACATACTAAGGATTAAATTCTTCAAGTACCTTTCACTGTGCTACTCATTTGTGTCAGCTAGCCTATGCCTAAACCACTCTCAAGATCAAACCAGGGCTAGGGACTACTCCCAGGATGCAGGATATAGCTACCTATTTCAGAGACCAAGAAATCTTAGCAGCACAACCTATACTAAACCAGACTAGCTTTCCTTACAACCCACACCACCAGCTCTGAAAGGTGAGTTTTTTGCTAGGACAGATGTAGACAGTGATATGTATTATGATACACCTATTGTTCAACTTTCTGCACATAAAGACAACATTAGAAATCATCAGTCACTCTGGTCACTCCAGCCGGAATACGTCCGCCCATGACATACCTGTACTGTGTGCATGCTGTTGGTGCTCTGAAGACACTCGCCTTCCTCCCCAGCTCTAATGTCACCACAGTCCTCCAGCAAGCGCACCCTCATGCCAGGCACCAGGTTTGCCTGTAAGTACTCCACATAGTCATTGCTCTCTGCGAAGTCTGATGGGGTCAGGAAGGCACGGCTCTGCTTTTTGTAAGCACCATGGTTTGAACTGAGCACAGGCATTTGGACAGCAGATCTGGTTGGGGTTTTGTGCTGGAAGATGGAGCGGGTGGCGCGAGGCCGGAGCTCCTTTTGGGGAGGCAGCTCTGGCTTGTGGTTGTGGTTCCAGCCCATCACATGCACCAGCTCCGAGATGAGGTTTGCCATGGCCATGCTGAACTCAAACTCCTGCTTCACACGGCTCCTCTCCTCAGGGAGCAGCCTGGGCACAGCGCAGCCCTGCTGCTCCTCTCCCTGCTCCACACTGCTGCTCAGCTTGTCCAGGAGAGAAGTGACACACAGGTAGCGCTTCACCAGGACAAACAGC